GTTAGGCTTAAGATCTCTTGCGAGCGTTACAGGTCGAGGGAGTGCGGAGCAGATGGCCAGGGTCACGGAATTGTAACGGCGTATGCCGCACCGAGGGACTTACGGCTGGAAAGCAGGGAGTTTCCAAGGACGGACGGTCGACGGACGGGTCACGCTGGAGCCCACAGCCGGAACAGCCGCTGGCCTATCAAAGCACCCACATAGCCCGCACAACAGCAATGCAGCCCGGAAACGAAGGACCCGAGAGGGGGGACGCCCCGACGAAAGTCCCCGTCGAGGAACGGGGTCACCACCGGGAAACCGCCACCGGTCGACGAGCCATGGCTCGTCCAGCCTGGCCGTCGAACAGCCAGATGATGAGTCGCGGCCTGGACAGCCGGTCTCACACAGGCGGGCTTTTAAACCACCGCCGGCGGACGACAGCGGATGCGAGGGGCGCTCTCGCAAGGCGCGGCGATCGTCTAAAGGGATCGCTGGCAGGCCAGGGCGCAGCACCGACCAGGCTAAGGAAACCGGCGCGCGCGGGCCCAGCGTGGTCCCGCAAGACCGAACGTTACTGTTGTGCGAGCCGCCATCCCGGCAACATCCAGCCCTGCGAGCCGAGCGACGAGCTGCTGGAACGAGGAGAATTTGTAAGGCCACTGCTCAGCCTCCCCAAAGTAAGATCGCGGTAATACCAAGGCCCTCCCGGGAGTCGCGTTGTGCCGCGGAAATACATGGAATCAGCCGTAATTGAATAATATCGAGTGCCATACCGCGGGAGGGCCCGTGCGACAAAGTAATCGCGAGTGCCCGTCTCGGGGATGCGAACGTACGGCCGCCGACAGTCAGCGTGCTTGTGGTTTCGTTTCGTGTGATTTCGTTTCGTGTAATTTCGTTGCGGGTGATTTCGTTTCGAGTAATTTCGTTGCGTGTACTTTCGTTGCGGGTAATTTTGTCGCGTGAAATTTCATGATCGCCGTTGGCTTAACCGTGCCGTAGTTTTGAGAAGTGGCTCTCGCGCGTGCCAGAGTCTCGTAGTTATCGTTGCCGGTTAAGTTCGTGCCATTTGTAATTAGCTATCCGTGCGTTTCATCGGGATTAATGGCCCACGGTAGTGTCGAGTTTACGGGTGAGGCCATTCGTGCGTCTCGAGGGGAGTGAAGATCCCCAGCGTTGTCGCGGTAAATCGTAAGGAAATTGCGCTAATTGTTTAATTGTTAGGCGTAGGCGTTTCGAGTATTTCGCGTTTGACCGTTCGGATAGAATTCGATGCAATTTATGTCGAGGAATAGTCTTGTACGAATTCGATCGGGATGCCGTGCAGTTCAGCGACGGAATGAGTATCGCGCTCGTGGGGTGACACGTGGCGCGTACTCGAATTCTGCTTGTTCGCCGTGGAACACGCTATCCTCCACTTGTTATCTGCATTAAACCGAAATATAATTTTATGTTCTTTGTTATTTGAGTGTGATGATTGCGCTACGCTCCCTCTCCTATTCCAACCGCGGTTAATCAAAGAAGCCCACGCCTGAGAATACTGCGATCTCGTGTATCGTGGTGCGAGGAATCGCACCTGGCGCCCAACATTACATCTTAAAAATACTCAGTCGAGCTACCATCGGGGTTTCGGAGAGAAATATCGCGAATCATAAAAGGATCCTTAGTGAGGAAAGCGACGGCGCGCTCCTCCACGGCCGGCGAGACCGTGAGGACATCGTCGTTGTCGTCACAGTATACTTCTGTGGAATATAATATTTTATTACCACAAAAATGCCAGCAATTTTGCATCATTTGATATAATGAGATTATCGTTTGTAGTATTTTGGTAAAAATCTGATTTTTTATATAAATTTTTTAACTTTATGTATGTATACCGTTGCAAACGAAAGTTTCTCTGAAACTGAATATTATATACAATTATAGTGTAGAAGTATAAAGTCATCTATGTGCACAATACATATACATACATACATACATACATATATATATATATATATATATATATATCTCAAAAATATTTATTATTATATAATTTACCTCTTTATCTAAATATTCATTTATAATATTTATACATTTCTTTATTTTCGGCTTTTCTTCAGTTTTTAAAACTCGTATAACAATATTTATTTTTTCCTCATCGTACCGTCACTACTACTAGTTTCTAAAATTTTGTTTAGAAACATAAATCGCTTCATTTCATCATCAGAATTCATTATTTCTAATGTCCCGCAACTTTTCGCTTGTAATAGCAAACTGCACTGACAAATTTGGGCGTGCAATAAACTTTGCACTCGTTCAGTTTATTTTGTGTGTCCGAATACAAAATCAGTGCTACACGAGGTCAGTGCAACACTCATCGAATATGCGATAAAGTATGTACTATAATAGTGCAATGTAACCGAATATGATGAGTGCAGTGCACTGAGACAGAGAGCATTGATCGAATGCGTTGCACTGGAAACGTTTGCACTCAGTGTACATTACTGTACACTAGTGCAAGCGCCCGAATTCGCTATGAGGAACCAGGTTCGAGTCCACTAGAGCCATGAAGCATGGAATGTTTTTCCGATAGCTGCGCCCCTCCGTGCAAGATAGGCTCTTGCGGAGAAAACTGGGCTCCGTCTTTCGGAAAGAAACGTTAAGCCGTTGGTCCAAAGGGTTAAAGTGAGAGGAGAAGGATAGTATTGGTAGTAGATTGCGAACCCTGCGGGAATATGCAATAAATTACGAATATAATAATATATAATGAATAAATAAAAAGTAAAATAATTTATTTCATATATTATAACTTGGCACTGGTTGACGTGAGACAGTGCCGTGTCTCTTGATACCGTTTTTATACCACTGTTCGTCAAATTTTAAATACGAGAAACGAATCTTATCAAATGCCATTTATTGGATATAATCCAAATTTAAAGTTTATATATGATTATATGTAATCATATATGATCTACATAGATTCTTATATTTTGCATGCGATGTACATTATTTTTTTATATCTTTGACAGATAAAATTATATATAGTAGTAGTAATATTTATTTTGATTTCGAGGAATTACAAAATGGCGTTTTTTAGGGATGTACCTAACCCTTTACAACGTTTCTCTTACTCTACCCGACCTGGCCGTAGGCGACCCTTCACATGCTGAACCCTCCTACCCCTTCGCGGGGACTTGGTTGGACTTACGTGGGACCTCTTCACACATACACTCACACTCCTCCAACCTAACCTAACCCCCTGTCCTATCTGACTCTGAGCAACCCTTCTGTTCCTACTCTCCTTTTTCCTTTTATCCTCCCATTCCTTAAGCCATCTGTGACTTTTTTCTGTTTCCTTCTCGCCTATTATATCGTCCAACACTACTCCGCTAGTACTTTTCTATGCGCATCGTTCCATCAGATGTTCTAGAGTACCCTCTTCCCTGCCACATATGTTACAGTTCCTTTCCTCCTCTCACAGCTAGTACCTGTTTCCTAACTCCTCATTCCCACATCTAGCCCTCGCCCTCCTTTTATGACTACCACTCTCCCTTTTTCTTCTCAAGTATTTTGGGAGCCCAACCACCTTGATCCTCCTGTATCGTTTATTGTATCTGGCCCCCTCAATTAGTATTTTTTGCTTTTCCCCTTGTCGCTTTCTATCTTTACTACTTAGCTCTTCTGCCACACACCTTCCCCGTTCTCTCCATTGTTCCAGATCCGCCTCTTGTACTCCACACCTACTTAAGTATTCCTCTCTCTCCGACCTCCCTCTTGTCAATGTTCCTCTTCCCTCCCTTTCCTTAATACATTCCACCACCTATCTTCTCCGGCCATATCCTTGTCTTGCCTTTTCTTCGAAGTTCACCGTCAACTTGGCCGTCCTTATCCTTATCTTGTCCCTCTTGGTTTCCGAGTGAGTCCCGATTGCGCACATTACAAATCGGACACAGCAATATTTCCCGATCGGACACGGTGTCGATTGCACACGGTGCCGATCGGACACGGTGTCGATTGCACACGGTGCCGATCGGACACGGTGTCGATTGCACACGGTGCCGATCGGACACGGTGTCGATTGCACACGGTGCCGATCGGACATGGTGTCGATTGCACACGGTGCCGATCGGACACGGTGTCGATTGTACACGGTGTCGATCGGACACGGTGTCGATTGCACACGGTGCCGATTGCACACGGTGCCGATCGGACACGGTGTCGATTGCACACGGTGTCGATTGCACACGGTGCCGATCGGACACGGTGCCCTAGGGGTGTAGGCGGAGGGGGCTCCGCCCCCCCTGCACCTCCCTGTGCACCTGGTGGTGTGGGTTGGGTTGATGCGTGGAGCGGGGGGGGGCTTCGCCCCCCCGCACCCCCCCATGGACACGCCTTTGGCGTGCCCGGTAGGCAATGTATTAAGTACATGCGTGGGCGGGGGGGGCTTCGCCCCCCCTGCACCCCCCATTGTGTAAGTAAACCCTGTGTGCAATCGACATCGTGTGCAATCGGCACGGTGTGCAATCGGCACCGTGTCCGATCGGCACCGTGTGCAATCGGCACCGTGTGCAATCGACACCGTGTCCGATCGACACCGTGTGCAATCGACACCGTGTCCGATCGGCACCGTGTGCAATCGACACCGTGTCCGATTGGGAAATATTGTCGTGTCCGATTTGTAATGTGCGCAATTGGGACAATCCCTTGGTTTCCTCCAGAACCACATAACCTGGTGTGCTTCTCTCCAGGCCCAGTGACCATCTCAGATACCGTGCCTCCACCCCTTCCACGTTACCATGCTCTAACCAACCTCACACTTCTGCCCCATATACCAACACGCTGCCTACTAAGCTGTCGAACAACATAATCCTCCTCCCCCAGTCATTCGCAAACTTCCTTTCTCTCAAGCTCCATGTCTTCTTTATCACTGACGTTGCTCTTCTTACCCTCTCCCTAATATGCTTCGTATGACCTCCATTTTTCTGTAGTATAAAGCCCAGGTATTCAAACTCCTTCACCTCTTGAATCCTCTGGCCTTTCTAGAGCCAGTCTTTCTCTCTTTCCACACCCCCTCCCCTTCTGAATTTCAAGATCTTGGATTTTCCCACGTTCAGTTCCAGCTTTCTCTTCCTCAAGTACTTCTCCAGCCTCTTAATCATTTTTTCTAGCGCCTCCTCCTCTCTGGCCAGCAGAACGATATTATTTGCATAGGCCAGTGTCCAAATCCTGCCCTGCCCAATTCTCATGCCTCCTACCAACCCCCGGGCCAACTCCTCCTCCAGATCTAATATAAAGACGGAGAACAGCAGCGGGTTCAGAGAACATCCTTGTCTCACTCCCTTTGTCGTCTAAAGGGGGCTTGACTCCCTGTCCCCCACCCTAACCCTGTTACGTGTCTCCTGGTAAATTTGCTTCACCCTCTCCGTAAGTTCTCTCCTTACCTCTCTCTCGCCCATCACCCTCCATAACACACTCCTGTCCACTCTGTCAAAGGCCCCCTTTAAATCAATAAAGAAGGCATTCACCTTCTTTCCGGCGCCATTCAGCTCCCTGTCGACCAGGTGGTTCAAGATGAAGATGTTATCCATTACACCTCTTCCCTTCCGGAAGTCAGCTTGGGTCTCCGGAAGGATCTGCTTCTCCACCACATCCTTCATCAATCTCTCCGCCAGCACCGCCGCATAGATCTTATAGGCCGTACTTAGTAGGATAATTCCCTTGTAATTAGCGGGGGATTGTTTATCCCCCTTTTTGTACAGTGGGGAGATTACACCCTCCTTCCACGAATCCGGCCAGCCTTCATCTTTCCACACCCCCTTGACCACCTCCTTCAGCTTTTCTCTCACCTGTCACCTGTAGAACTTCCAGGCCTCGCTTTTTATGCTATCCGGTCCCGCCGCTTTCCCCCTTTTCAATCTCCTTATCTGTTTTTCAGTTTCTTCGTCCGTGAGGTCCTCCTCGTCGTCACCCCCTCTCCTTTCCTCCTCTAGAATCCTTTCATCTGTCCCCTCTAACACACCCATGAAATGCTGCCTCCAACCCTCCATGGATATCTCTTCACTCACCTTGTCCCCGATCTTCCTTTCTTTGTTAATATATTTCCAAACTTCTGACTCCGTCCTAATTCCATTCAACTCCTCTATTTCCCTTTTACTCCACTCTTCTCTCTTCTTCTCACAGAGCTCTGCTAACGCCCTTTTCATCTGCAACACCGCTTCTTTGCTTCCACTCCTTATCCTCTATTTCTTTAGTTTTCTTTCTGCCTTTTTTTTCTTTCTGGTGCACTCTCTGTCCCACCATTTCTTGTAACCTAGTTTTCTTTTTCTCCATCTGACCTTCTTCTCTACTACCGCCTCACTCACCTTATCTCTTAGTTCCTCCCATTTCTCCAGCAAACCCTCTTCAGACAGACTAATCTCCTCCGTCCTTTCAGCGAAGATTCTTGTGCTCTTCTCGTCCCAGCACTGTATTATCCTCTCTGCCTGTCTCTCTTCTTTCCTCTTTTCTCCCCTTCAGGCCTTTTTTCGACGTCCATACACTCACCAAAGACATATGGTCTGACTCTATCTTGCTCTTGACCTTAAATTCCTCTAGCAAGTCCCACCCTTCTGTGTTAACTAACAAATAGTCTATAACCGACGCCCCTCCCGCTCCTACGTACGTGAATTCTCCCTCTTCATCTCCCTGTTTTGTACCATTCGCCAGACACCATCCCCCTTCTTCTACCCATTCTGACAAACACGCTCCCTCTTTGCTGACCTTTTTGTCCTTAGACCTTCTTCCTTTTACTACCCCATTCCTGTACACTCCCCCTTCTTCTCCAGTCCAGACGTTGAAGTCCCCTCCAATTATCATCAGCTCTTCCGGACGCTGCAGCTCTAGGCTAGCTATTTTGTCCTTAAATTCCTCAGGACCATCCTTAGACCGTACTAATTGTCCACTTGTAACCACCTCTTCATCCCTTTTACTTCACCAAGCCTCTTCTACCGTCGTCGACCTTCTCCGTCATCATTACACTTTTTCTGTTTCCAATAATTATTCCCCCACTTCATCTACCTCTACTCTGCTTTCTCATCGCATATTGCACGTGCCAGTCGAACTCAGGAGGTAGATTTCTTATCCAACCTTCCCCCTCTTCCTCCCTTATCCAAGTCTCCACCATACTAACAAAATCCAGCTATCTTATAAACTCTCAAAAGTCCACCCCTTTGTCCTTAAGCCCGGCTACGTTCCAGAACCCTATCTTAATTTTGCCCCTAACCTTGTCGGGGCTCGGGCTTCTCGGATCCCGTTGTCTCTGCCGCAACTTTCCGGGCGTTCCTTTCTTTTGCTCTGTTGAAATATAGTATACATTTGCCTGTATTCACTTAGGAGACACAC